AAATAGATAAATAGATAGATAGATAGATAGATAGATAGATAGATAGATAGATAGATAGATAGATAGATAGATAGTAAGATAGATAGATAGATAAATAGATAGATAGATAGATAGATAGATAGATAGATAGATTTTCTGACCTACCGACCGACTCACTCATCGACCAATAAGCTCACAGATTATATAGACATATAGATTAAACAAATGCAAGAAAACGTAGGCAAGACAAACCGAGCGACTCAAGCTAAAGGCAATATGTGGCTAATCAGGTTTATGTAACCCGTTCTCTGTCGATAATCTGCAGTGATCAGCATTGGACACGTCCCTCCCCTGCTTTGATGAAAACGGCGGCATGTCATGGATTGCATTTAGACTCAATATCTCGGTCTCCTCTCTACGATGTGCAATCAACAGATGTCAACATTCCGACTACACGCCTGACTTCAACCGCCAATTTCTAAGCGGCATTGCTATTTGCATTCAAATGTCCAATTCATGCCTTGAACGTGCGATTCCCCACAGACCTGGCGATGGCTGATCCTTGCACATGTAGCCTTTCTTCTCCGGTGCTTTTTTCTCGGCCTTTACATTAAATGTCGCATCTCCAAAATGTAACCCGAGTAGAAGGAAAAGTTACTGTGTAATGTGAATTTTAATAGTTTATAATGTGTCTAAATTTACATCATCACAATAGGACATAGGTCTAACCATGGCGATATTTGATTAATAAGAATCCAGGCTCTCTGCCTTTGATGTCTGCTCATATATTACTTGATAGGATGATTCTCAAGCTATATTCATAGCGATTATTAGTTTACACACTAACTATATTCATATTATTCATCTATAACATCTATTATAATGCATAAGTGTACAAGCGAGCGTGGGTGTGTGCGTGCATCCGGGCGTGTACGTGTGCAAGCATATATGTGTGTGCGTGTGTGTGTGTGTGTGTGTGTGTGTGTGTGTGCGCGCGCGCGCGCGTGCGTGCGTGCGTGCATGAGTGAGTGCGTGCGTGCGTGCGAGCGAGCGTGCGTGCGTGCGAGCGTGCGTGCGTGAGTGAGTGCGTGCGTGCGTGCGTGCGTGTCTGTCTGTCTGCTCACCCGTTCGCATAACGTCTGCTTGCCCGCATGCCTGCGTGCGTAGGTGCGTAAGTACGTGTGTGCGTGCGTATGTGGTTATGTGCTTGGCTGCGTGCGTGCGTGCATGCGTGCGTGCATGTGTACGTATGTACCAATGTTTTGAAATGCTTGTTCAGCCTCGTCGCGTAATCTAACTAAATTCGCGTGTCTAGTCCATTGATATCCGTTGGGTCTTACTTGTAGATTCCTGTTTATGCATCTGTGATGCATCGTATATATGATACAACTATCTGTGAAATCTTTCTTCGTCAACATGTACATTATGTGGCCACAGAAAACGGATAAGGCTATGGGATATAGATGTCGTGTTTGAAATCATCTTACACTCTATTCCTAGTCAGCAAAATAACGCCCGCACAGCACTCACTAGCGGTACGGAATAGAGGAAGGCACAGCCAGTATGACAGCAATACGCCTTACTTCTTGCATCCACACCAAATAAAATCAGTCCCTGCGCGTTGGTACCATTTACACGGTAGTTTGCCTTCCTTTATTGCAGGCCGGTCTGCTCCCCTGCGTAACACATTACTCCCCATTCAGGCGGTAATAAACATTGGCACATATAAAATATTTAAATAAGCATATTACTGTGTATATAGAGGCCCTGTTTAATGACAGGCCCTAATGGCAAAAACTGTTCGGCTGTCCCATTTCGGTTCCAGTGAGATTCACCTATCAAGCGAGCGTACACGCACTGAATGAAACCAAACAGTCATATTGTGCTGCACCGTGTGCGCGTTGCTGTAATTTGACTATTTGACATTCTGCCATGTTTGCCGGAGTCCATGGTGGGACCGAGAGTAAATAAAGAAGTCTCAGAGGCGAGGCTAAATTATTTATGGTCTGCAAAAGTGTTGAAATGGACGTCCGCAGAGAAACGCAATGAGGTGGCAGCACGTCACGTATAAACGTGTCCCTTTGTATATGGTTGCGTACACATTGTTATGTGCACGTACGCACACGCGCGCATGCACGCACGCATGCGCACACACGCGCGCCCGTGCACGCACACACACACGCGCACGCACACACGCACATACAACACGATAAGTTATATTACATATATATTGTACACGTGCGCGTTCATACGTACGCGTTTGCTCGTGTGCGTGTGCGGTTATTCTGATTAGGTATGCCGCAGTACTAAAGCCTGTCCATAAAAGTGCGCTTCTTATATATTCAATTCGACACGCTGTGTGGCTACTATTCGTCATATATATCGGAGAGTCCTCCCCAGGGTGTCGCATGCTGAGCTCATTCACCCTGCCATTAATAATACACGCATGTAGCTTCCAAAATTTCCTACCCCGACACATTAATCAGATTCATATTTTGCTATTTTTATTAAGATATCGGGATTTGCACTATAGTTTTATTAATTAAAATGAGTTTATATACACGATTAAATAAGGATGTGCACTATTGTTAAATTTTTGTTATTCATTAGTGTCGGACTGTCGGAATCATTTCTAGGCAGTCTTCACAGCCTGTGCGTAGATGAGAGCTACTTTATGTTTCAAGTGAGACAAGTTACCGCGATACAAAGCAGCTTATCAAAGCTGAATCATGTATGGTCTTATAACACGATGGATAAAAACGTTATACATACGGGTGGCATACCGGAATTCGTTTGCCTTCTAGTTTCACCCTATAAAATGTGCCACTAACCTAGTATAACATCAGTATAATACATTTTTGTATAGCCAAAGTATAAACTAGGATATTCACTGACTCGTTACAATAACATACTCACAATACGCCTGGAAACGTAGTTGTATTGTATTTTAGACGAGCTCAACTAATAATGTAATGAAACGATTAAAATACTCTGCACATTGTTAACACATTGTGCATCCTAACGCGCTAACATAACATTAGTCGCTGGACACCATTGAGACGTATTTATCCACGCAGCGGACATCGGAGTCGTTGCGAATGTTCTCTGATGCCGACGCGATGGCGACCAGGAGGTCACAATTTCGCCAGTATCGAACGACAATGACACACGCGGTGCTGTTTCTAATCGGTGTTGACAGAGCAATGCACGCGGGGAATTATGGTTATAAATTGCGTTATGCTTCCAATATAGCGGGAACACGTGTAGTGGAAGTCGGCGTGTCTTCTGGGCCCTGAACCCAATTTGTAGTCTTATAGGGACAATTCTACATGTAACGCGTATCGACCGGCACTTATGCTGCACGCCATAAACCTTTAAATACTTCCGCCTCTTCTTCGTCTGCTAATCTTGATTCAGTATACACTTACAACTTTCTGAATTACTAAATGGGTATAGTATTTCAGACTTATCGCGAAATTAGTTTTTGTTTTAACATGATGTGACGGTAAATCAACTAGTAAGCTGGCTAGCCATCTGCTAAGGGTTCTGAAACATTTGCAGTTAATTCCCTTCCTCACACAGTCAGTTCCAGCATAGGTCGCATGACAATTAACGCAGCAGCCAACAAATCGCGCGTTCGTTCATCAGCACAGCGTGTCCAGCTTTACTATTACCGGTTTTACTATGAATGAGATCTGTTTGCGACGCTGGAGTTACGCGCCAAGAACATGCAGTAGTAACTCGTAGAAACTTCTTGTATGTACTTACCGATGCAATTGGACGGGAGGGAGCGATGTACGCCGGTTGTTTAAAGGGATACTACACCCTAGAAGTTTAGGGTATATTATGATAGTAAGTGCATAAATAATAGTATGTGTCTAGAAATTTCTATAATCATGCATTCACAGTTGTCATAAAACAACAGTGAGTTTCGAAATCTTTATTTTTGGCCGCTGACATAGCACCCCGCGATTGTGCTGCCATCCTAACAAAGTTGCGCTTTTGTCGATTTAGCGTAATTTCAACCTATTTTGAAAATCTGTAAGGAAGCTAGAGTCAGGTAACCACGAGCGGCCCCGGTCACTTCGAAAACATGACAGCGAACAGTGGTGCGGAAAAAATTGCGCGCGTAGCGCACACAAGCTGTGTGCAGACCTAGGTTAGTATATATAGATGTCTAAGGAAGTTCTAAGCGTCTAAGAACACACGCATGCACAAACAAACAAACAAACACACACACACACACACACACACACACACGCACGACACGACACGCACGACCGACACACCACGACACGACACACACACACACACACACACACACACACACACACACACACACAATAATATGGGTGTTTTGGAAGAGCATTTAATTATTTAATAAAACGCTTTTAGAAAATCCTATACTTCACAAACCCTTTTGTATTGCTATGGTCTAGACAGTAAATACAAACGTATGCGTTGCTGATCTGCAGTAGACCCCTATGTGCCTCTGACACTGACGAAGACGCTGTGCCCGCTTTGCCTAGAGTTTAATATTTTTTTATTTACAGGAAATTTACCGATATTATTTCATTGGAAGTTTGTAATATGAGGTATTGCAGATTCTGCGCTGAATAAGAGATTGCTTATGGGCCTGTTCTTGGCCCAAGTAGTTTTAAACACCTATTACCTCTATAATAAAACCTGTGGTAACGAACGCCTTCATGGAACGAATCCCTGTCTATAAATGAAACTTGTGACGTTTCTATGAGCGGCAGTTATAAAGTAAGACTACCTCTATAAAACGGTCCGCTGTCTAAAAAGGCCATCTTTACGCTTGCCCTTTATTTGCCCTTCTTTACAGGTTTGACTGTAGACAATAGAGCTTACACAGTCGTTGCCATCACGGATATACCGGTAGTGCTACCGCAGACCGGTCATGCTTGCCATGTGATAAATCTCGTGAGTTATTGTGCGAGTTTATTCACCCCGTCACGCTATACGTGGTCTGGCGCTGCTTGTGCACACCCATCGCAATAGCTGCCACTACCTGAATGAGAGCGTACGGGAGCAAGCACCGTATAGTTTACCTGCATGCTACAGACAAGCAAGTCAGCGTAGCGATATTTCTAGGCAATCGTCTTCGCGATATCGCAGTGCTGCATGTATTGCTCGGCATATTCTCTTGCGCGATCATCTTTGCTATCCAGTGCATAATCAGGTGCGGTTTGCATAGGATAGCAGTCTTCTGAGCGTCAGGATGGAAACGGGGACGAGATGCGATCACGTTGTCTACATCGCTGCACTGAATGCGGTAAGGCCTTGATTAGCAACTAACCAAGTTAAAGTGTCGGCTTGGTCACTATGGCTATGACCATTATTACTATAAATGTAACGATAACGATAACGATAAATTATCCAGTTAGGTTTGGAGTTTTGGATCGGGGAGTTTTGGAATATAGTTGAATTGATAGTTTCTTAATTATACGACTTAGCAGTCCGAAAAATATTTTTTAATATACATTTCTAGGCAATTATGTGTAGTTTTTAGTGAACTGCAGCCGCTAGTGCTAGTTCCACACGCACGCAAGTATGCACGCACGGACGCACGGACGCACGCACGCACGAGCGCGCGCTCGCCCACGTACACGCTGGCCGTCTCCGAACACACATGTGTGCGCATGTTTTAATACTAGTAATTTATATAACTACTAATTTACAGATGAAAGCTTTTCTACGGAAAAGATACGGGTTCGTGAGCATGGTGGCTTCGTTCGCGATTCTACTGACGTGGCAACTGTATTCTAGCGTCTCCAATGTACGGGGTAACTTGTTATGCTATTACCAAAACTATTGTCTGCATGTCTGCATGTATGTGCCAACAGGTGGAGCTTGCCCCCGGTAATAATTTACTGTGCAGATAATCATGGTAACTAATAATACACTTTCAACAATACAGTGTGTATTGTTGAAAGCTCGCTAACAATACACGGTGTATTGTCAAATGCCTAAACCTACAACACACTGTGTATTGTTAGTTACCAGGATTATCTGCACTGTGACACACTAATACACACATATTGTTACTAAAAACCTTGTCCCTATAACTAACATTTTCTTTGGCCATTTCTACACCATTCCATTCAATTACATGATTATTTGGGTCAACGACTACCTCATAGCTGTCTATCTAGACGTGAATTAATATATCTGTCATTTATTCAATTATAATATTCTTCGTACTCTTACGTAAATTAAATATTCACCAGCTAGCAAAGACCGACAGTCTACAAAAAAACGTCAATTCGCGTATTGAATTGTAAATATAGCCTCTTACAATCTATTGGCCTCTGTTATTTACAAGAGAAAACATATGATGTTTTTTTAACTTATTAATCCAAATCGATTATTATCTTAATCGATACGAGAAGGTGTTTGGATTTGTTCAATGGATTTTAAGCGTTTTCTAAGCTTTTATCAAACGTTGACATGGATTGAGGTTAAAAAAGTCAAATTCTAAAATGTGTATTATGGTGACTTAATTGTGAGTGTCTCTCTCTCTCTCTCTTTCTCTCTCTCTCTCTTCTCTCTCTCTCTCTCTCTCTCTCTATCTCTACTCTCTCTATTCTATCTCTCTTACTACTATACTACTACTACTATATATACTACTATATATACTACTA